TTCTTCTCTTTCTCCATCTTATGCCACTTTTGCATCTTCCCACTGCTTTCCATCTCCCACCCTTCCTTCCTGTCCTTCGCTCCCGTGTTGTTTCCATTGCTTACGTGTACTTCCCGGCCCACTTCTCTTGATTTCCTTTTTTTCTACCCTGTCCTTTCTTCTCCCAAGCATTCCTTCTTCCTCCCCCACGTCCTTGCCATTTTCTTTTTTTTTCAACCTTCCTGCTGCTTTCTTGCCCCAAGCTCCCTCCTTCCCCTTGCTCCCCTACCTGCTGCCCCACTTCCTTCTTTTCTTTGTCCATCTTTTACCACTTTTCCATCTTCCCCCGCCACTTTTCCATCTTCCCACCTTTTCCATCTTCCCGCTGCTTTCGCTCGCGTGTTTTTGTCCATTCCTCTTCTCCTTCGGTTCTCCTTGCCCCTTCCCCCCGCGTCCTTCTGCACTTTCCGTCCTTCCTTCCTGCGCTTCGTTCGCGTGCTTGTTTCTTCAGTGTTTTTCCCCTTTGCTTTCCTTGCTTCCTCGTTGAAGTTCCTTCGTTTTCCTGTTTTGTTGCTCTCCAGCTGCTTCTGACTGGCTGTCTGGTACTCTGTTCCTTCTTCCTTGTCTTCGCGGCGTGACTGCTGACAGCAGCGTAAATGAGCATCTCCGACAAGCATGTCAGCAAAACCAAGGACACGCTGCCTTTGCGGCAATTTTGCTGCGCTCAGACGTTTCCGCTGCAGCTGCAGTTGCTGGTATTCAGCAAATGTCATCACATCGCAGCCTGGGAACGGCCGTTCTCCAAACTGCCGCGGTGCCATTGCACGGGTTTCTGCGTGCAATGGCTTCTGGCATCCCGCTTTGAGCGCCTGTTTTCGACCCCTTGCCCCACCCGTGATTTTCACAATTTCCCACCTTCCCCCCCCCTTGAGATGTAACCTGGACGTGTCTCCCCTCGCTAGGCGTACAGGAACACAGGCACTCAGGTGTCTCTTTTGCTACAGGCGCACAGCTGTAGTCCACTGCACTAGAACCTTAAGCAACAGGCATGGATACATGCAAGTGATACGTGAAACAGACAGGCACCTGGATGTGTAACATTCAGTGTTTCAACCAGGCACAAATTTAAAACACGTAGAACTGCATGGCCGTGGAGTCGGCATTCTACTAGCCTGTTATCGCTCGCGGTCGAATTAGCGAAGTATTGAGCTACACTGCGACTTGAAGAGAAACTATACATTCTCTAGCCTGGAGACAGCTTCATGAGAAGAGCAGAACACGCACAAGACGCAAACGGATCTACACTTGAAAGCTTGTGCTTGAAAGTTGCCCACTTGTGTTCAGCTCCCTCTCCAGATGGAAAGCATACTGCAACATAAAGGTGTAGAGCTTAGCTCCACTTGATGCCAGCATGACATCTTGCGGCAAGGAAAATTATGTAAGGGCATTGGAAGTATCTTATCCTGAGAATAGTATCTTCTTGAAAGACGAGTTCTTTAGGAAGTACCTTTTCCTGAGAAAAGCATCTCCCTATGAAATGACGAATGCTCAGAATGGATACCTTCTTATGAAAGAAGCCTTCCGTGAAACACTCAGCCAGTTCAGTCGACGAACTCTATGTCTCGATCCCAGGTCGTATCACGGTGTTCACCAGACCATCGGTAAATGTCAACTCTGTGAATCGGCATCACCGGAGCATGGCGAACTGGATCGTAACCACGAGGATCAGCTGGGGATCTAGGCAACGAAGGTGGTGGATCAGGAGCAACGTCGTCATTTGTTCCAAAGGAACTTCGTCGAGACCATCGTCCATATCCACATCCGAATCGGAACCTAGTCAGTTTTTCCCCTTGCTCTTGCCCTTGGACTTGTCCTTGGATTTGCCCTTGGACTTGCCCTTGTCGGATTCCTTGCCTTTCCCTTTGGAGGACTTGCCTCCTTTGCCGCCTTCTTTGCCACCGGGAGGTTGTGCGGGTTCTGGAGAACGTTGAGAACCAGAAGCTGTTGCACCAGAAGCTGCCTCTTCCCGAGAAGAGCTTGCTCCTTGAGGTGCTGCCGCAGCGGGACCAGAAGAACCAGAACCACGCGCCTTGTTCGTGCACTAGCCCATCTAGCCCACCACCATCCCCTACATCCTCCGTGTAGGAACTAGCGAGAGTAGTCGTACTAGCCGAGTAACGACAGCGAGCTAACAAACAGTAGCGCGCGACAACTCTCCTTTTTCATGGATGTGGCGGAAATCCCAGTTAGCCTGGAGATTGTCGCTAGCCTTTGGCTAGCCCTCCCCAGGGTGGGTTGGGTGGGTACTTCAAAATTACCCCCCAATGGGGGACTTTATCCAGAATGGCCACGGAAGTGTACAAGGGTTCCTCGCCATTCCAAGTCATGCTATCCAAGTCTTGCAAGCTGACACATACAGCAAGAGCAATAGATAGCAGTAGAAACTTCGTTTCTAGCTGAAACACCTACGATGGTTTCGGTGGGAAGATTATCGGGCTAGCACACATAGTCGTAACTCGTTCCTCGTCACGAGATACGTGCACTAGCCCATCTAGCCCACCACCATCCCCTACATCCTCCGTGTAGGAACTAGCTAGAGTAGTCGTACTGGCCGAGTAACGACAGCGAGCCAACAAACAGTAGCGCGCGACAACTCTCCTTTTTCATGGATGTGGCGTAAATCCCAGTTAGCCTGGAGATTGTCGCCAGCCTTTGGCTAGCCCTCCCCAAGCGAAGCCACTCAGGCTACCAGGGATCTAGCCTTCGGACCTTCCGGCTAAAACGCGACACCTTCACCGGTGTCTCTCGCTTCCGTACTCCTAGCTCCCGATAGAAGCTATCGGAGTGCGCGAGTAGCCAGTCCAGCATCCTCCAACGGAGTTCGTCCCCCTTGAGGTCTATCCTCAAGCCGGGGTCAAGGTGAGGTTGATTGAGATCGGGATAGCTCTTCGGCCGTCTCCATCAGGATTAGCATGGAAGGATACTTTGTCGTCATAGCCTTCTTCAAGAGGGACTCGTTGGACTTGTTATCCGTGTAGCCTCTAATGGCAACTCGCGAGGTTTTCCTATCCTCGCCCTCCGGGACCCAGAGGCGTATCCCGACGAGGGTCGCTAGCAACTCTAGCGCGGCTATTCCTTTTTTTGGGGTCTCCTTTGGAGAAAGCCCAAGGTGCCCAGGACCTATCCACCTCGAGAGAGAACCAGGGTCCCGGCTTCCGCGAGTCTAGCTCTCGGAAGCCCCCTATCCATGCCCTCGTGGACTCAGCCTTAGCATCGGTGTAGAAGCTCAGGGGAGGTAGCTCACGGAGTAGCCGTACAGGTCGTTGGAGGCGGTGCCCTGTGGTCAACTTCTCCTCTAGCCAGGTCATGAGCACCCGAAGCATGGTGGGTATCACCAGTAGCCCATCGCGGCCTTGGATACTGCTGCATCTCCTTCACCGACACTCTGCCCGTACGGGACCTCTCACCTAGCCATCTCGCCAACCATCCGGCTCGCTTCTCCGACATCCCCAGCCGGCAGCCGGTGTAGTCCGTCTCCATGCCGAGCCACTCGACACAGTAGCCGCCCGGGTTTTGGCCCATTTGAAGGGCACCGAAAGCAAGAGGTAACTCAACGGGATCCCTTGCCTGCCCTTAGCACCTATCCTTAGCGACTCGAGGTCATCCGCATAGAGGAGCATCTCCATGGGGTAGCCAGGACCAAGAAGATGGTGAGTAGCCCGGACACCGCAAGCCGCTATCCGCGTCCACCAATAGCTTGCCGGGGATAGCCCAAAGGTGCCCACCTTGTTGACGTAAACGATCTGGCTATCCGGGTCGCCCGGTATCGTCTCCTCTTCATCTATCTGACAGCCCATGTAGCCATGCTCGCTAGCCTGGTGCTTGTATCGCGGTGGGCACCTCGCCCTCCGACTCTAGCTCCCCTAGCAGCTGCTTTTTCTCCCTAGCCCCAGATGCCCGGAGCTTATCCCGGCACTTTATCCGGTTGTTCACCTTGACGCCGTGGGTGGCATCATGGATTATCCTCTTCTTATCCTTCTCTTCGTCCTCGACTATCACCGCCAAGGCCGCAATCGCCCGGTCCTCGCCGAATCTAGCCTTAAAAACTCGCCGAGAGTCATCTTCTCCATGAGCCCTTCACCGAAGAGTAGTTGGGGACCCACGCTAGCCCCGGCTCCCAAGAAAGGTCCTCTAGCCTCCAAAAAGTCTGCTCCTCAAAAACATGAGGAGTCCTGGGTAGCCCTTCGAGGATCCCAAGCACCTGGAGAGTCTAACGTAGCAAAAAAAACCTACATTTGACCAAAAAGTTAACAATGTTACTTTTTGTGTTGAAAAAAGCTACAATGTCACGTTTTTCTGTGGTCGTGGAGCCATACCAAACATTGGGGAAAACAGAGTTTCGCTTCTGGTGTACACTTTGTTTGGTTGTTTTCGTTGAAAACTGAAAACAAAGGCAGAAAAGAAAAAAATGACATGAGACCATGCATGATTTGCGAATTCAATCATTGACATTTATATGTACATGTCAATGATTGAATTTCCCCATGCAAAACCATCGTTGACACAAGCTTCGATGGTTGAACGGTTGAATTTAATAGAGCTCCGGGATATAGGACCTGGTTCCATGCGTGTGACTACAAGGCGGCCACATAGAGCGGACCTCAGGGGCAGCTTGCTCAGACAGTGCACACGGTGAGCTGTATTCAGTTGCAAGATGCACATCAAATCGCCCTGTTTTTAGCTCCTCCGTCTCCAGCGAACGACTACGTAAGCGAGGTACCTTCGCATGGCAGTTTTGCCAGCTGTAGTCGGACCACATCCAGAAGCCTCGGCCGTATCTGCACAAAGGTTCTAAAGAGGACATAGACACTGGAAGCATTTGTGTCTTGATAGTGCAGCCGAAGAACTATGTTGCACATCTGCCTGATGAAGTCTTCGTCTGCAAAGCAAGCGTTCAGCTGAGGATTGATTCTGCATCTCATGAGCTTCTCCCACATGTGGATCCAGGTGTGAATCCTCAATTAACAGACATGCATTGGCAGTAACTGCTTGCAAGAATTCATTCCGAACGAAAACGTCGCAGAACAACCCCGTGCGATTGCTGTTAACTCGAGCGTCTTAGGACGTAGCTTGTACAGCTTCTGTCCATCCAGATAGCAGGAATATGCCAACCAGATATAGCCCACGACGAACCGATGGCAAGCTCGGACCCCTCGATCGACATCCTCCCGTGTGATCTCATATTTTCGCTTCTCCAGTATCTTGATGTTGATCGCCAAAGCTCGGGCAGTCCTGGGCGAGAACCGGCGGTGGGGGAATCGTCTTTGTTGCTAATACGGTTTTAGCAAGCTTGTGGAAGTTTCTGTGCAAAGTTCTAGCAAATTAATATGTGCCTTAAGACAAGTGGCATTGAGAGAACATCAGCATGGTCGGTGTCGGAGGAAGCTTTCGGGGATCGTGCGTAGGCCGGAGCTATCTCAGCCTGTAGTTGTAGGGCACACGGCATCAGAGCAAAATCAAGCGATATGTTGCCTCAGCTATAGGCAAACAGCTTACTCATTCGATCATGCTGCCAGCCAGACACACAACAGTTTGATTTCATATCCCTTGGCATTCAAGGAAGGAAATCGCTCTTCGGATAGACTGAATTCATCGATGGACAGCGAATATCCTCGAGCTTTGGCCCACTGCCCTGCCATGTCGCAAGCCTTCTGAAGAGCCGCCCTTTTTCCAAATATGTTGATAAGAGAGCTTGCCAGGAAATCCGCTGCAAACCCGTATCGTCGAAGATTAAGGCGTTCGAGAACCCTGGCAAATCCACGATGGGAGGAGGCACGGCAAGATTCTTCATCGTCTGGCAAAACTCCTGGGCTTCGATCGAACTATATAGATTGCTAAAGAGGTTTCAAAAGAACTGGCATTATACGATCTGTGTCTATTGCAATATATGGCTCTGTCTGGGTTTCGTCAGAAAAGCGGCACCCGGAGTCGGCGTACACATTCAAATAGTGTGTCGACCCCAAAACCATGTGAGTCCTGCCATCTCGGGGGTCGTCCGTGCTCGCTAGCCTCAAATATGTCATGTATGAAGGTCAACAGTCGTAACTTGCAAAGTTTTCAAACATATTTTGCAGCTGAGCCACTTGCAGATGTGACACATCCTGTACACTAGCTAGCGTATCCTCCCGCCACCTCCCTCAACACCTCCGGGGAGTACGTAGCAAGCCTAGCTTTAGCTAACTGGCTTCACGCAGTAGCACGGACAACACGAACTTCTTTCTTTTTAGCGTTGTGGCGAAGTCCCGCGTTAGCCCGGAGAAGAACTCTAGCCTTTGGCTAGCTAATCTCCAGGGTGGGTTGGGTGGGCACTCGAAATTTGCCCCCCAATAGCTGGGGGCCTTTCAGCACAATGGCCACGGAATAGCACAGATTCCTCCGGCCATGTGCGGGCACTCTAGCAAACAGACCTGCTTCGTTCTGTTTAGCTTCAGAGGAAAACCCCTTCGACGTTTTCTAGCGAAACACCTTCGATGTTTCACACAGGGATACTAGCGCTAGCATACACTGTCGTACCTCGTACCTCGGCACGAGCGCGTACACTAGCTAGCGTATCCTCCCGCCACCTCCCTCAACACCTCCGGGGAGTACGTAGCAAGCCTAGCTTTAGCTAACTGACTTCACGCAGTAGCACGGACAACACGAACTTCTCTCTTTTTAGCGTTGTGGCGAAGTCCCGCGTTAGCCCGGAGAAGAACTCTAGCCTTTTTGGCTAGCTAATCTCCTTGCGCAGCCGTAGGGCTACCAGGGACCTAAGCCTAGCTTACGGGCCTTCTTAGCGAACCTCGGAGCCTTCGGCTCTCCGGTCCTTTTCCTCACTCCTAGCTCTTGGAAGTAGCTAGCCGAGTGTTCGAGGAGACGGCCCAGCACACGCCACTCTAGCTTTTCCCCCTCCAGGTTCACCCTGAAGTCCGGGGAGAAACTAGCGAAGTTCTCGTTCGTGAGGTCGTCCGCTAGCTGGTTCAGATCTCTGCGGATCCACTGTAGCTGAAGCTCACAGTTCTTAGCGGAGAGTTCCTCTGCTAGCTCCATCAGCACCAAGGTCGATGGGAACTTCGTCGTCATAGCCTTCTTCAGTAGTGCCTCGTTGGACTGGTTGTCCGTGTAGCCACGGATAGCGACCTTGGAGGTCTTCTTAGCATCCTCCTCGGGGACCCAGAGTCTCACGCCAACCAGGGTGGCCAATAGCTCCAGTGCGGCTATGACCTTGTTTGGGTCTCCCTTAGCGAAGGCCCAGGGGGCCCACTCCTTCTTCACTTCTAGCGAGAACCATGGGCCGTGGCAACCATCCACTAGCTCCAGGAAGCCGCCAATCCAGGCTCGCCCATTCTCAGCCTTAGCGTCTGTGTCGAAGGAGAGCGGTGCCGCCCCGTCCAGTAGCGAGCCATCCACAGAGGACGCGAATCATCGTGGCGTAAGATACCCCGGCTTCCCTTGGACGACCAGGCGTGTAGCGGTCCAAGAAGGGGCGCTCCCAGTCTAGCGCCATGGAAGCAAAGCCCAGGCGTCCTAGCCCCTGTGCAAAGGGCCGGCTCCACAGCCAGTCGGTCCTCTTCTGAGTCCACCCGAAACCCCCCCCTCGTCTTGGCCCACTTGAAGGGATAGCCGAGACTCGCGAGGAAGAGGTAACTTAGCGGGATCGTCGATCTGACACGCCAGGCAGCCATGCTCCCCCTCCGCATGCTTGTAGCGCCGGTGGGCTTTAGCGATGTCGCCGACGACGGAGAAGGCCACCTCGTTAGCGTCGATGTGCTCTCGGAGTAGCTGCTTCTTCTCTCTAGCCCCCGGGGCCCGGATCTTGTCGCGGCACTTAATGTGGTGGTTGACCCGGACCCCATGGGTAGCGTCGTGGATCATCCTCTTCTTTCCACTAGCCTCGCCCTCGACGATGACCGCTAGCGCAGCAATGGCTCGGTGCTCCCCGTAGCGGGCCTAGCGTCATCTTAGCCATGAGGCCTTCCGCCACGTCCTCCTCGAACTTCTCCCTAGCGAACTCCCTGTACTCCTCCACCGAGGCGTAGTTCGGGACCCAGGCTCACGAGGCATTCTCCAGTGGCCACTCTTCAAAGACGTGCGGGGTGCGAGGTAGCGGATCCCGTACCCCCACTGGTAGCCCCTCCTCGGCATTGAGGAGAAAGTCTCGATTGGGGTCGCCGGCCGCAGTCAGTAGCGCTCGAATAAGGCGGAGGTTTAGCGGTTGCCCCGGGGCCACCTTGAGCAGCTCCGGGTCTGCCAGGTCGTCAGCCTCCAACCACTCCTTCCAGATCAAGCGTAGCTGCTCCTCAAATTCACAGCCCTTAGCGCCACCAGCAGCCATTCGGAAGGCTTCCTGAACTCCAGTCCCAGTTAGGACCTTCCGCGTGACTGCGGGTAGCATGGGTCCAGCGTCCCGGGGAGCATACACCTCCCCCATCGTGGTAGCTCCTGTTGCCGCCTAGCTGTTAATTGGCAGGTCCTTGGCGGACCTGAGCCCCTTGCTAGCACTCGCGGACCCTCCGGCTCGCAGCTCGAGAAGGTCTCCGGTCTGGCACTCCGGCCTAGCGCCACCCCCCTCCCCCTGGGCAGCGGTAGCAGGGTGCTGGCAGGAGTCTAGAAGTAGGGTAGCAAACCACTCTCAGCGGGCCACTTCTCGGAGCCTGAGGTCTTGAAGGGGCCTTTACCAGTGCGCTTGAACATGTGTCCCAGTGTAGCGGCAGAGGGCAGCGGTCCAGTATAGCGGCCATTTTCATCATAGCACGGCGGTCCTTCATGAACAAACTGAGCAGCAGCCTGCTCGGCTTAGCGTAGGGCGTGCCAAAACTAGCTTGGTGGAAAGCCACCGTCCGTAGCCCCTTTTGCAGAAGGTGGGCTAGCGGCGGCCATTGCCACATGGAGGCCGGCGTGCTCCTTGATGCGGGCCCTTAGCGAGGGCCCCGAGGTCCTCCGGCTGCTCCATTGCCAGAAAACTAGCGGCGCCGTCCGCGACGAGGGTAGCGACCTCGAAGCTGAAGTCGGCGGAGATGTTGCTCAAGATAGCGCGGTCTCGCTCTGCTGGGGTTAGCGTCTCCAGGCCACGAGGAAATTCATAGCTGCGCACTGGGCGGGGCCCCTGGAAATTAGCCCATGGCACCCTGGAGAAGCTAGCGCAGGGCGGCGAGAGCAGCACGGCATCGAACTCCTTGTTAGCTATCCGGTCCAGGTAGCTCTGACGTATCTTGGGCAGGCTGAGGTCGTTCTTAGCGTGCCGAAGAAGGTCGACACACTCGACCCGAACGTCTAGCCCGAACTCCCCAGCTAGCTGATATCCCCCGGCGCGGGGGTCACAGGCACTGAGGGCTCCGTCGCGGTAGCGGGTCAGTTGGAGGGCTTATCCTCCTTAGCGGTCTCCGTCTGCTTCTTGTTGGGACATTGCGTAGCCGGGTGCTTCCCGAAGCATAGCGAGCAGACGTGCTCGAAGTGGCATTTGCTGCCATTCTTGCAACCCTTAGCATTGTAGCGGAAGCAGATGGGCTTCCCTTGCGGGGTGCGATCTGCACCCACCCCTTGGGGGGGCATCTTTGCCTTTGCCCTTCCCCTTAAAGGGTCTTAGCGGGTCGCTCCCGGTCCAGTTCCAGGGCTGCGGCCTTTTAGCGTGGAGGGCCAGCGGCGTGGTAAAGTGCCGCTCCTTCACACTAGCGTCCTTGTAGGCATGGACTAGCGCGGCACCAAAGGAATAGCCGGCCGTGGCCATCACCTTGTAGGCGTGCTTCCGAATAGCGTGCTCGTAGCTGAGCACCAAGGGCCAAAGGGGCACGAGCGACCCCGAGTCGGCGCTGGACCGGAGACCATAGCAATAGTCTCCAAGGAGATAGTCTTTGTAGCGCTCGAAGAGGGCCATGGTGACGTCCTGTAGCACCTCCCGATTGGGGTGCCTTAGCTGGATCATAATTAGCGTGTTCTGGAGAACCGTGAGCCGCAGCCATAGCTGCTCCGGCCCAGAGGGCGTCGGAGCCCTAGCACCACCCTTCTTCATGGATAGCGTGCCGTTGCCATTCCAGACGGGCAGTAGCGTGTCGGGGTCCCACTCGTCCCGGCTGATCACTTCGGTTAGCGGCTCCGCCCGGAACTCGCCGGATTCGAGCTCGGCTAGCTTCTTCTCGATGTACTCCTTAGCGGGGGTCTGCTTGTCTTCCAGGTCCCCAAACTTAGCGGTGAAGGCTTGGCGCATGGCCATGTAATCGGTAGCTGGGATGGGCTTTGCCCAGTCCCTGCCCTCACTGGTAGCTTCCGCCTCTGCCTGTGGATCGGTGCGGGAGTTAGCGGTCCTCCATGCGATGGTGACCCCCGCGGCCTGAGCTCGGCTAGCGAGCGAGGTGGTAGGCTCGATAGCGAAATAACTGTCCTTTAGCATCTTCTTGAGGTCAGCTTCATCCGTCGCCGAGGCGGCGAACTTAGCGACGGTATCGATACCGTTTGAACAGAATAGCATCCGAGACTTTGTGTTGCACTAGCAGGAACCGAAGCTCGCTGCTTCCGAGGGCTAGCTTCTGTGCCAGAGCCTCTGCCATGGTAGCAGGCACGAGGGGGCCTACGCCACCTTAGGAACTGCCTAGAACAGGAAAATGTGCTCCTGCTAGCACCCAGGGGAATAGCTTTCGCTGAAAAGGCACTGCAGTAGCAGACG